CTTCAGCTCAGGTCACGATCTCACGGTCCGTGAGTTCGAGCCCCGCGTCGGGCTCTGGGCTGATGGCTCAGGTCCTGGAGCCTGCTTCCGATTCTGTGTCTCCCTCTCTCTCTGACCCTCCCCCGTTCATGCTCTCTCTCTGTCTCAAAAATAAATAAACGTTAAAAAAATAAATAAATAAATAAAAATAAATAAATAAAAGGTTAATTCTCCTGTCGAAAAGAAAGGAAGTAACTTCTCTCCCTCATCGCTTTTCTTAGAGCATTTACTTTAAAAAACTTGTAAGTTCTTCCTCTGTCTCCTGGAAATGTATGTAAATCTTCTTAAACGTTAAAAAGCCCCTTGCTGGCTTTACTGCCTGGTAATGTCTTTCTCAAGAACCTAAAAACCAACTCTTCAAAATGTAATTACAAGAGAAGACAGTTCCCCTGTCTCCTGCTTTCTGGGGAATGGTAGGAACCTAACCTCAGAGGGGTCTCACTCCAAGTTGCAAAACCACCTCATATCATAATGGTGTGAGAAGTTTGTTTTCCTTTGGATAAAGCCCATTAGCAAACCCACACAGCCACCTCAACTACCAAGTAAGTCTAGAATGAGCACATGTGTGACAAATGGTGCTGTGAAGTTCTCTTACTTAAGGACTAGTTATTGTTTATCATGTGACTATGTATGTAATGAGTTGTGTTTGCTTGACTATTGCTGGCATAGTAATAGGCAACCCTTCATCTGCCTCCTAACTGCAGTGCTGGGCCCAAAGGAGACATTTATGAATGGTCCACCAGGTTCTGTATATGATGGTGGTCTATTCTTTCTGGATATCACATTTTCATCTGATTATCTATTTAAGGCTTCAAAGGTTAACTTCCAACCAGAATCTATCTCTGTGACATCAATAGTCAGGGAGCCATCTAATTAAAGACAACTGGAATACTGCTTTTCTGTGTTGAAAGTTTTGCTGTCAATTTGTTCTTTTTCCTCAGACTACAACCCTGCAGGTTCATTCAGTACTTGACCAACAGGGCAGACAGAACACTACAGGATACTCAGATGATGGGCCAAGTGCAATGTGACATAATTCACACAATGTGTATGTGGTGTAAAGGAATAGAGGGCATCTTCTCACAGGACCACACATCTCTATACACAGTACAGAGTTCTGTGTGCATGCAACACTGACCCTACTCCCTGAGTTTACCCTTTAGAGACTGGTAGACTCCCCAAAGAAGTAAATGCTATCAAGAATAGAACTTTATAGCTGTAGGTTAGAGTAGGTTATGTCTAAGACACCTGCTTGCAAGTCTTGCTTCTTTGGTGTATCAAAATATATTTTGTGATGTACTAAAGTTCCTAATGTCTACCAAATATTAAAGTGCATTTTAGCCTAATTTATTATCTGTATTTTTTTTTAATGTTTATCTATTCTTGAGAGGAGAGAGAGAGAGAGAGAGAGAGAGAGCACAAGCGGGGGAGGGGCAGAGCAAGAGAGGGACACAGAATCCAAAGCAGACTCCAGGCTCTGTCAGCACAGAGCCTGATGCAGGACCCAAACCCACAAGCCGCGAGATCATGACCTGAACCAAAGTTGGACGCCCAACTGACTGAGCCACCCAGGCTCCCCTATCTGTATTAAGTTATAAAAGTAGCCTTAGATGACTAGAAATTCTGTTATTTGTATTAAACAGAGATCTTTTTCTGAGTATGTGGCTCATGCTGTTGTGAAAAATGTTTTACCTCTTACCTTTGTCAGTTTATAATGAGAAAACTTCCTTTTACCCTATGTAGCTCAGAGAGCAACTTGATGTATTATCTCAAACACAATAAATATGCTCCTGAAGGCAAAAAAAGAAAAGGGGGTTATTGCAGCTTTATTTTTGATAGTGGGACATTGGAGAAAATTGTAAGTTCTTTCTCTGTTTCCTTGAAATGTATGTGCTGGTGGTGGGACATTGGAGACAATTTGGGTTAGTTATGAAATCTATTTTAGGAAGATAAAGGCTAAGCTGTTATAGAAGAGATCTTCAAATGCAGTGCCTCAGACAAAATAAAAGATTATTTTTCTCTTAAGTCCAGAGACGTATGGGTTGTCCCAAATGAAAGGCGCCAGTTCCTTATATATTGTTGCTTTGTTATTTCCTGGGAACTTGGTCAATCACCATTCAATCCTCATCCATGGCAAAGAGTGATCATCCGTCCTCAGTACTGCCCTTTTCTTCTACCTTTCAGTAATAGAACTTTCCCGTGTTTTAGACACATGACTGTTCATATAATGCAGAGACCACATTTTCCAGCTCAATGTGATCAAAGCTGGAGAGCAGTCAAGGAGCTGATAATTATTGAAACTGGATGATGGATACAGAAAGGTCAATAAACTGTTCTTTCTACTTCTCTATATGTTTAAACTTGTTTACAATAAAAAGGTTTTGCCACAATTAAAATTTGTCTTAAATTTTTTAATCTATTTGGATTTTATTTGAATTACAGTAAATAAAATAATTTTGGATGACATGATGAATCCTTATTTTCTTCTTTTGTCATTAAAATATCTTTAATATCTTTCATTTTCAATATATCTTCAGTATCTTTTTCATTTTCTATCTTTTATCATAATCTTATTTGTATAATCATAAATATGATTTAAAACATAATGAAATGAGAAGGAAGGAAAGACAAAGGGAGGGAGAAGGAAATTCCAAGTTTTTGCACTAGGAATCCTTAGAATTCCTTATTTTTATCTGTAGACATTATTGGCCACCCTAGGTCCCATCGTGTATGATGCAACCCACTGAAACAAGAGTAATTCAGAGGAGGAATAGTTGGCCCAGGAGAACTCATTCACATTCAGAGCAGGCTTCCTACTTAAGGGCCTCTCCAGGGAGCTCTGTCACTCTCCAAAGTCTAGAGTCAAGATCAAGTCCCTCTGGCCATTGTTATATGGGAAGCAGAGTTAAGAAGGCTTCCCCTTAGAAGACTATAGGAATGTTTCCTTGCTAGGAAGTTCCACTCCTGAATCTTCTAAAGGAAGGACAAAGTTGAGGGAAGCCCACAGAAGCCCTAGCCATATCTGGGGCTTTTGCTCTAGTGTTGGAAGGATGCTATTCAGTATCACCCATTGAGAGCATCACTTGTTGGCCTAGGGTGCCCAGGTAAAGACAAATCTCCTTCTCATTCATATACATCTTCTCCTAAAACTACCCACTCTGGGAACCTGTGAGTGTCAAACCATGAACAGAGAGATAAGATCCTCACTTATCACCTTCCTGAGTTATCCATCAAAGAGAAAGGTGAAGGTGAGAAGTATACCTTGTTCTGGTCTAGACCAAACCCTATCACTGTACATTTTACCAGGTGTTCTTGTTCTCAGTGTTCTTGCATTCTCTCTCTCTCTCTCTCTCTCTCTCTCTCTCTCTCACTCCCATTGGCATTTACCATCCCTGTGATGCACAGAAGATGGTCCAAGATTGACTTGGCTTTATCCAAATCTCCTGGTACCAACTCAGAGAGTAGCACAGTCTTCATGGACTTACATGCTAAGTACTGAGATTACAGAACAAACAGTAGACAATATAGATTCACATAAACCCTGGAATGGGAAGACCTTGGAGTAGCTGATGTGCGCAACTCTCAGCTCCATTTTGAGGGCTTCCTCCTGCCTGGCTTCCATAAAATCAGCACATTTGTGTGCCACTTCTGTTTGGGTTGACACAGAAGGGAAGAAAGGATTTTTATTTAGTGCCAGTAATACCCAAGGAAGTTGTCCTTTAATCTTTAGAATTGCTTTTTTAAAAACTTTTTTTTATTTATTTCTGAGAAAGAGAAAGAGAGAGAGAGCATGAGTGGGTGAGGGGCAGGAAGAGAGGGAGACACAGAATCAAAAGCAGGCTCCAGGCTCTGAGCTGTCAGCACAGAGCCCAACATGGGGCTCAAACTCACAAACTGCAAGATCATGACCTGAGCCAGTTGGGCACTTAACCAACTGAGCCACCCAGGCACCCCTAGAATTGCTTTTTTTTTAATCTTTAGAATTTCTTTTTTTTTTAATTGTTTTTATGTTTATTCATTTTTGAAAGACAGAGAGCACAAGCAGGAGTGGGGCAGAGAGAGAGGAGGACACAGAATCTGAAGCAGGCTCCAGGCTCTGAGCTGTCAGAACAGATCCTGATACGGGGCTCAAACTCATGAACCGCGAGATCATGACCCGAGCCAAAGTCAGACGCTCAACCAACTGAACCACCCAGGTGCCCCGAAATCTTTAGAATTTCTAAGCTGGAATGGACACTAGAAACCATCTAGTTTTCCAAGATTTTTTAAATGTTTATTTATTTCTGGAAGAGAGAGAGAGCAGGGGAGGGGCAGAGAGAGAAAGAGAGACAGAATCTCAAGCAGGCTTCACACTGTCAGGACAGAGTATGGGGCTCAAACTCATGAACCATGAGATCATGACCTGAGCCGAAATCAAGAGTCAGACATTTAGCCAACTAAGCCAACCAGGTACCCCCCGCCCAGATTTTTTTTTTAATAAGAAACTCAAGTGACTTACTCATGAACTTACTGGGGCAGAGAAAGGTCTTGCACCATCATCAGGTATCACAATATCCCTATCAATCACTCATTCATCATGATCTTTCAGCCACATAGTCCAAATGTTCATCACTTATTCACTGTGCTGATCAGAGCCTTCCTATGGTTTGAGTTCATTTCCTTCTGGAACTGGAGAATAGTACTTCTCAACGCTCTGGAGTCCATTCCCAACTGCCTTCCTTTCTTTCTCCAGTCTGGATGATCTCTGTTCTCTTCTCTTTCCTTTCTAGGTCTGATTGTCTATGCTCTTCTTTTCTACCTTCTCCACCTTGGCCAATAGCTTCCTACCCTGAGCCAGGAAGGGCTGATGAGCCATGAAGCTTTACTCCCAATGCCTCATCCCCAGGCATGCTCTAAGACTGATAACTCATTTGATCATTCTTCTCCATTCTTGCCCCTCTGAAGGGGAACTTAAATGTTCCATGGAAGTTGGTAACAACATAACCACAGTCACTACATCTGTTCTCTTAGGACTGTCCAACAACCCTCAGATCCAGGCCCTGCTCTTTGTGCTCTTCCTGGGGATTTACCTTCTGACCCTGATGGGAAACCTGACGATGCTACTGGTGATCAGGGCTGATTCCCACCTCCACACGTCCATGTACTTCTTCCTGAGTCACCTCTCCTTTCTGGATGCTTTCTATTCCTCAATCATTGTACCTAAACTTTTAGAGAACCTTCTTTCCAAATGGAAGACTATATCCCCCCTTGAGTGTTTTACTCAGATCTCCTTGGTCATATTTTCTGGGACCACTGAAGCTTGCCTCCTTTAAGTCATGGCCTATGACTGGTTCCAGGCTGTATGCCACCCACTGTTGTATGTGGTGGCCATGAACAGGAAGGTATGTACTGGCCTGGTGGGAGCATCCTGGGCCATAGGAGTGGGGACAGGCCTGGTTAACAGCATCCTTCTGGATCAGCAGCTTTTCTGTGGCCCCAATCTTGTCCACAGTTTTGCCTGCGAGCTTCCCCCAGTCCTCCTGTTGGCCTGTTCTGACCCTTACATTAGATTGCCTCCATCCTGACCACATGGCGGTCCTGGGCCTTGGCACCCTTGTCCTATTTCTGGGCTCCTACACCTGTATCATCATGACAGCCCTGGGGATCAACTCTTTCACGGGTCGGAGGAAGATCTTTTCCACCTGCTTTTCTCATTTTCTTGTGGTCACCATCTTTTATGGTTCAGGAGTTTTCAGGTATGTCATACTATATCTCCTAAATGTAAATGTAGGGTATCCCTTGCCCTAAAGTGGCTTTGGTCTGTAGAACAGGGCATTGCAAAGGAGCAGGAAAATTACTATACTGGAATTCAGAAGGCCTAGGTTCTAGTTCTGGTTCTGCTGTGGACTAGCTGTGTGAATTATAAAAAAAATCCATTTTCTTTCTCAGGTCTCAATTGTCTAAGTCTGAAAGATGAGCTTATACAAGGACTAGAGACTTTCCTACTTTCACTAACCTATGATTAATAGTTCTCAAAAGGAAATCAGACAGCCCTTGGTAGATTATTATTCAGCGCTAGGCAAAAAAAATAAATAAATAAAACATACAATTCTTTTTTTTTTTTTAATTTTTTTTTTCAACGTTTATTTATTTTTGGGACAGAGAGAGACAGAGCATGAACGGGGGAGGGGCAGAGAGAGAGGGAGACACAGAATCGGAAACAGGCTCCAGGCTCTGAGCCATCAGCCCAGAGCCTGACGCGGGGCTCGAACTCATGGACCGCGAGATCGTGACCTGGCTGAAGTCGGAGGCTCAACCGACTGCGCCACCCAGGCGCCCCAAAACATACAATTCTTGAAACAGATGACATCTTTCTTTCCTACTGGAAGATGATGTCTCTGAGCTGCTTTTACATGGCTCAAGCTCAATTTTAGTATGTAGAGAAAAGAAATATTATTAACCTCACTTTCAGGTAAGGAACCTGAGTTTCAAGAGTAACCAGGTGACTTCTCAAATGTTCCAGAACAAATTAGTAATGGAGCCAGAATATAAACCAAGTCCCACTGATTTCAAACCTCATGCTCTTTCCTACCATGCTTCTCTCAAACATAAACAGCTCTAGCTGACAAGTCCTCACCTACTAGGAGCAGAATAATTAACGGTCCATGGTATCCACTGAACTGGAGATGGATTTGTACAAATTGCTCCATATTTTCTCACCTGCTTGTTACTTGGAGAGAAGGCAAGGGTGGAAAAGGGTGATAAGGAATAGTCAAGAAGAGCTCACCTGAGGCTGTGGGAAAATCTCTTTATCTCTCTCTGCCTGACTTTCCTCATATGCCATAAGGAGACAATAAGATTTCTCCTACCTACTTCACAGAAATGTTAGGAGGGATAGATGAAGAATAATGACAGTAAAATGAATATCTTTTTAAATCAAGCACACCAGAACCCACAAAGAACATTCCAATGGTGATGGCACTCTAGCACACACACAAAAAAATTAATGTTTCTTTGGGAAATACTTCCAGTGACACTTAATAAAATGCACCCCAAGATTTATTCTTATTATTTTAGATTAATATCTTGTGCTTAGCACATTTTTATTTTCCACACTTGGCTTCTTTACTAAGCCAAAGAAAAATTCACCTAAAAGGACAAATGTTTGTTCCAATAAGCATTATATAAAATAATGTGCCATGGGGCACCTGGATGGCTCAGTCAGTTGAGCAAAGGACTTCAGCTCAGGTCATGATCTCACAGCTTGTGAGTTCGAGCCCCACGTCGGGCTCTGTGCTGATAGCTCAGAGCCTGGAGCCTGCTTCGGATTCTATGTCTCCCTCTCTCTGCCCCTAACCCACTTGCATTCTGTCTCTGTCTCTCTCAAAAATAAATAAACATTAAAAAATTTTTTTAATAAATAAAATAAAATAAAATAATGTGCCGTGACTGAAGATAATTCCCAGAGCCATAAATGTTGGGAACAATGACAGTATTATTAGAGAAGCATACACTTTTGCCAGAAACAATCCTCACAGCATGAGAACATACATTGTATATACAGGGAAAAGAAGAGAAAAAAATCCTCATATATTTATCATAACTATTAAGAAAAGATGTTTTGAAGCATATGAAGTACTACAGAAATGCATGAAATTATTAGTTTTTTTCTAATCTGCAGCCCTTGATGTGCTACAGAACTTTCTTTTTCTCTGGGCAGCCCTTATAATGTTCGGCATAAGAGAACTCATGTTTGGAGACATATGAAGGTGGAAATGATTGACTTCTCAGTGATCATATAGTCATATCTAGACAGTGCTGCCACTGATAGTCAATTCAGCTCGGAGGACCCACTTTGCAGAGACTCTGGGATGGGATGGACCATGCCTGCCAACAGTATTGTGGCCATTGTTCTGAGCTCAGTTTACTCCTCTGTGCCATTCCCTTCAAGGTACATGACTCCAGCATCTGGCTCAGCCCTGGAACAAGTGCTCTCTGTGAAGTACAGTGTGGTGGCCCCGTTGCTAAACCCTCTCATCTACAGTCTGAAGAACCAGGAAGTGAAAGCAGCCTTCAAGAGAGTGCTGGCCAGGAAGCCCAGGCTTACCTTCTAACCGAGTTCCACTGCCTGCTCGTAACAGGAGAAACAGTGGTGCAAAGGAAGAGGAGGCAGGAAGAACTATCACCAGTTATGTTCTTTCTTCTAAAAACAGAAGCATTAGTTCCTCTAACTCCACTGTCCTCCCCCAATCAAGTGAGATGGGAAAACCCCCACAGAGCACATGACAGGGGGGGCCAGTCACCACTCAAGAAAATCCTGACAAAAAAAGTGTGAAGGATCCTCAAAAAATTTAGAACTACCATATGATCCAGTAATTCCACTTCTGGGTACTTATCCAAAAGGAAATTATTATACCTAGATGCCAGAGGAAAGTAGCATGGAGGATAAGTTGGGATAGAAAGGGAGTCCATATTGTTGGGCACCATTCTGAGACGTCCTCACACAGAGCTCTGGGAGAGGGTGCACTCTGACAGCCCTGCCCTGAGCCTCCCCACCGCAACCTGAGCCTGGACCACTTCAGATCCCTTCTTGGTTCAAGACTTGTTCCAGGCCTAAGGAAGGAGAAGGAGTTGGAGAAACAGAACAGATTCTCAGCTGCCATCCCATCTCTCCTTCAGCTCCCAAGAATGTTCTCAGGAAGAGAACAACAGCACTTTCCTGTCATGCTTCTATCAAATGCCAAGAGGTCAGGACTACATCAGTCAGGACTACTTCCATGCCAGCTCCCTAGCTTCCCTCTGTTCTTCTGAACTTCAAGCTAAGATACTCTCTGAAAATAAATTTGTTGTCAGTTTCCTCTAGCAAAGTCCTCTTCAGATTATGGCCTCATATATGGTATACTCACAGGTGATGTTTCCGAGTCTTCTCTGTGGCATGAAGGCCAGAGCAATGGGACTGGGCACAAGTCCCAGCCTTAGCTGCATTTCTTCTTGGGCCACTTGGTGAAGCAGGTCCCTTATGTTACCAGAGCATTTGACTTCCTGAGGGGTAACTAAGGCAGGGTAATAAGTAAGAAGTCGATATGTGAGATCTGTAGGAAGAATGGCCATCTGACACTGTCCTCCCACACACACCCATACAAAGGAGTCACTCCTAAAACCTGTAGACTTGGGTAAATCGTTTTGTCCCAAGGGGGAATAGCATGCAATACTCCTGGGAGATGCATCACATTGTGTTTAAGTTCACACTAAAGTCACATCATGAGTACCAAGTTATTTCCTGAGAGTCTCTTTTCATTAAGTATAGGAGAGGGATGGCTTCTCCACCCCTTTCATGGTCCTATCAGTCTCTAAACAAGCCATAGGGAGACTTCATGTGGGAACTGCTCATCTCTGAGACAAGAGAAGTATGATCTGACTACCAAAAGGCCCTGCAGGTATAGGGGTAGGAGGAGTGTAATCTGCTATATTAGACATCTAAGAAAGGCAGGAAGAAGAAAAACAGGAAGTAGAAGATAACTCAGTTAACTCAGAAATGTCATTTTTTTTTCAAGTTTTTTCTTAAGTTTTTCAAGTTTTTCATTTTTTCAAGTTTTTACTTAAATTCCAGTTAGCTGGATGGCGGTGTAGGAGGACGCTGGGCTCACTGCGACCTGCTGATCACTTAAATTCCACCCACACCTGCCTAAATCAGCCAGAAAACCACCAGAAGACTAGCAGAATGGATTCTCTGGAG